AACTGGGCAAGATCCAAATCCGAAGAATTGTGTAAAAAAGAGATAGACAAGTACCAGGAGGTGAAGAACTTGATGAATTGGGCAATGGAGAAAGCTACAACAGCAGAGAGAAGAGGGTAGTTGGTGAAGATTGAAGACGACGATGTCGAAGATGCCGCCACCTCAACCATCGCCTTTTTCTTGGTTGAATTCGAACGAGATTGTAAATTCAAAAGGGTAAACAGAAAAATCAAAACCCAATCTGACACTTGATAGATTGTTTGTTTGTACGCGTAGGAGGAGGAAGGAGGAGGGAGAGAGGGAGAGAGGGAGAGAGGGAGAGAGAAGGGAGGAAGAGGAGGGAGAGAGAGGCAAAGAGTGGGTCTTGCGAGGGTGTGAGGCGCTGGCAGAGGTACTAGTCTTCTTCTCTTTTTTTCTTTTTTTTAAGTTTTAAAATATTTAAAATATAATATATTTTATTTAAAGCCACATGGATATATAATATTGGATGTGTGGGCTCTACACACGTGCCACATCAGCCATTTAACAGAAAATTTGATGGAAGCTAACGACAGGGACTATTTTGATGTGTGGAGGATAACCTTAGGGACTATTGGTGTCACAAAAAAACGTTAGGGACGAAATGTGATAATTTTGCAAACCTAAGGGACCATTTGTGATAAAAAGCCTAAAAAGAAATAAAAACAGAAAAATAGGTAATTAAAAAAACCAGCAAATAAAACCAAGGCTTTTTATCACAAATGGTCCCTGAAGTTTGCAAAATTATCGCCTTTCGTCCTTAACGTTTTTTTGTGACATTAATGGTCCTTAAGGTTATACTCAACACATCAAAATGGTCCCTGCCGTCAACCTCCGTTAAATTTTCTGTTAAGAAGCTGACATGGCATACACATCCAATAATATATAGCCACGTGGCTTTAATATATTTAAAAATTAAATTAATTTTTTTAGAAAAAAAAAAAAAAGAATACTAAAACTTGATTTTTAATATATAAAAACTTGTCGCCAGCCCTCCTCTGCCATCTTCTCCCTCTGTTCTCTCTCCCCCTCTCTCTCTCTTCTATCTCTCCTTCTAGAGCAGCTATGGCAGCCCTGTCTTACATGCCTTGAAGAAATTAATTGTAAACTTTGTTACCATTTCTCATTACTTTGGCTACATAGTTGAGCCCAACATACAAGATTTCATGGTTATTATCCACAGTTCATGTTGAGTGCCTGCATCTGGGTTAATGAATCATATGCCTGCATCTGGGTAAACACCAGTTCAACTTCTACCTTCACAGCAACTACAAACCATTTAAAGTTCATAACAAAGAGCCATACCCATTTCAGATTTGGACCCCTATGCCCTCAAGAAGATGAACGATTTTTTTTTATATATAAAAGGAAAGATGAAGATGAACGAATTATTTGATAAAATTTTAATAAAATTGACATATGAAACACAGTTAACCTTTCTGTTAGTTAACATGACACGTGTTAGAAAAATAAGAGGAAAACAGGGTGGGTACAGGGAAAAGGGAAACAGGAAAGTTGGACTCAGAGAGTGCAAGAAAGCCAAGTTGAGAAGCGGAGATTGCATAATGGGAAAGTCGGCGCCAAAGAGAAGAAAACGTGAAAAGATAGAGGGTTAGTCTAGGGTTTAGGAGTGTGACAGTAATAGAATAGGTTAGACCGTGTCCAATGCGTGTCGGAGTGTGACAGTAATAGAATAGGTTAGGGCTCGTCAATAGGCTGGGCTTTCTAAGGCACACCGGGCGGGGCCGAAATGGGCTTATTGATATAACCAAGGTGATTTTTTTTCTCTTTCTTATTTCTCTGTTTTTCTATGTAATCCCTCATCTTGATGATTACTACTATTCTTTAGGTCAGTTCTGATACATGTTTTTTGTTTCAACTCAGGAGGAAATTGAGGAGCTGGAGTGAGAATGGAGCTGTTGCTTCAGAGCAAGGCGAAAGAGAAAGACGAGAGAGAGAGAGAGAGGGGTTTTTGGTGGCGAAGATCTGAATCATGTTGGGTGTATTTATAATTTAATATTTAGTGGGATGGTAAAATTGGATATTCGAAATAGGTAATGATACACTGCCAAGCCAAGGCCATATATTAATCAACATGTATTATATTTGATAGTTTCGAATTTTGATATGCGGGGGTTGGTGGAAAGGTTAAAAACTTGAAATTAGCAAAAATATTGTTGTTTTGAGGAAACGACGTCGTTGCCAAGTATTTATCTCTGTGTGTTTTTGGTGTCTTCTTCTGACTTAATTTAATCAGCTGGGGGGGTCTACATTTAAGTCAGAGGTAGTTCAGTTGTGGAAGAGACAAACAACTTGCCGCACAAGAACTTCTTTCCTAAGGGTTAGGTTAACAAAGAAAAATTGGTATTTTGCTCTATAATAAATAGAAAAATTGGGCATTTATATCAAACAGAAAAATTGAGAAAATGAAGTCATTTCATTTGTATCATCACATTATTTATTCTCCAAGAAGGAACAACAATGGAAGTAAAGTTCAAAGTAAAAAATTTCAAATGAAAAATGAGTATGTTCAATTAGAACATACAACCATGGCTGTCAATCAAGCTAACACTTGAGGCTGCAAAGCTTAGAAATCTAGAAAACCCAATTTCCCCAGGTGCAACCACAGTTGCTGCTGAATTATTATGTGCAATTCTTCTTCTTTCTTCTTCTGCTTCTTCTTCTTCTTCCCCACCCAATGAAACCCAGTTACAAAGTCATATGTAATGTTAGTAGTATATGCTCTGCTATAGTTGAGTCTGTATGAGAAACTGTGCTGGTTCCGAATTTGCGGTGAAGCCAAACTTGGATGTACAATACTTCCTATGTACCCCTGTGAGTCTCCCTGTTGGTGCCTTCTGGTGGAAGCCAACCATCAAACTTGAGCATTCTCTGTTAGCACAATTCAAGAAATTACTACTCATTAGTAAATTCTTCATGTAAATGTTAGTTGTCAAGAAATTACTTAATGTTTCAGTTGTTGGGAAATTCCTTTTGAAAGTTGTAGTAAATTATAGAGAATGTGTATGAATTGAGCATATCCGAAATTGAAATTGCTGATGAACTGGCAAAGGTGACTGATATTTGACGTAAATTGTTCGCGTTGCCATTGAAGTGATGAGTTCCATGGTTGTGAATCAATTTGTGAGTTGGGGTGGGGGTTCCTTTTTTTCAATAAACATTCAGTCTCCTCAGACAGGATATCAGAATAAGCTCCTTGAGTATTCATTGCCCAAAGATTTTTCTACTCGGATACAGCACGATTGCCTCAAGAAGTAGAGAGGTTTAACTTGATATGAAAGAAGAGGCCAGAATTGAATTATTCATTACTCTCAGCTTATGACAACAAAGTTTTAAACAGAGGATATTGGCCTAAATTCCTAAACTTGTTAGGGCATTAACTTCATCCCACACGACAAGAATTTCATAAACATATGCATACAAACTTCTTGCTTTTGTCCACTCACATTCAACAACAAAAATATAGCAAACACAACAAACCAAAGATGCTTACAACTCTACCAGTAATGTATGCTACTAAATCTTAAGCATGCTTTGCCTGGAAATCCTTCATGAAAGCAACCAACTTCTCAACCCCAGCCAAAGGCATGGCATTATAAATTGAAGCCCTCATCCCTCCCACTGACCTATGCCCCTTGAGCTGAACCATCTTCTCCTTAGCTGCCTCCTTCACAAACTCAGCTTCCAACTCTGACTTCTCAAGCGTGAAGGGCACATTCATCAATGACCTCACAGACTTCTCAACTGGGCACCTGTAAAACCCTTTGCTCTCATCAATGGCGTAGTTAAAAATCTTCTCATGTAATGCTCTAATTTAGGGAAGGAAGAACTCACAAAAGCTGATCTTCTGAGTAGCTTGTGTGCCACTCGTGTACAAAAGATCAGCCTTCCTCTTGTTCTTCTTCTCAATCTCACCCAAACCGCCCTGCTCCAGCAAGTCCTCAAACACCAACCCACACATGTAAATGCCATAGCAAGGCGGTGTGTTGTACAGAGACTTGTTCTCATCATGAATCTTGAAGTCCAGCATAACAGGTGTGATCTCTTGAGCATTGCCAATCAGATCCTTCCTGATGATCACAACGGTCACTCCGGATGGGCCCACGTTTTTCTGGGCTCCGGCATAGATGACACAGGTTCTACTCCACTGCTTGAACCCATAAAGAGTAGCTTGAGCAGTATAGACTGCAGCAGCAGCTAACAAAGATGGTGGAAACTTGAGCATCTCATACTCCACCAGAGAAAGCTCCATCAAGAAGAAGGATAGCAGTTCAAGCTGTTTTGAGGTCATTAAAAAAATTTAATTAGAATCCCATTACCGCGAGAAACTAATTGATTGATATTAGATGAAGCACAGCTTACCTTCTTGTCAGATTGAGCAGCCTTGAGGAACCTTTTCATGAAAACATACGGCGTCGGAACTGACATGTTAAATTGCAATGTATTAAGCATCAAGTTCTCCTGCAGGTTTAAGAAAGGCAAAGAAAGAGAATTTCAGTTAGACCTATTGCTTAGAGAAGTAACTTTCGCGCATATATGCAAATACTTAGCGTCTGGGCTCTGCTCCAATTCTTCAAAAGCTGAGATCTTTGTGTACTTCTCGGACTTGCCAGACCAGATCACCTTGGGCTGAGAATACTTCTGGGCCTCCTTGAAGGCCTTGTCGCCCCACGACCCAGTAACCACGTAATCAACTTGATCGTCGGGTTTGCAGAGATTTAGAGGTATGGCGGCGAACTGGGTGGTGGCGCCGCCTTGGAGGAACAAAACGGAATATTCCGGTGAGATATTCAAAAGGGTTCGGAGGTCCGCCTCGGCCTTCTGGATTATGGAGAGGAACTCTTTGCCTCTGTGGCTCATTTCCATGACGCTCATCCCAGCAGAAAATGAAGTCATTTCATTTGTATCATCACATTATTTATTCTCCAAGAAGGAACAACAATGGAAGTAAAGTTCAAAGTAAAAAATTTCAAATGAAAAATGAGTATGTTCAATTAGAACATACAACCATGGCTGTCAATCAAGCTAACACTTGAGGCTGCAAAGCTTAGAAATCTAGAAAACCCAATTTCCCCAGGTGCAACCACAGTTGCTGCTGAATTATTATGTGCAATTCTTCTTCTTTCTTCTTCTGCTTCTTCTTCTTCTTCCCCACCCAATGAAACCCAATTACAAAGTCATATGTAATGTTAGTAGTATATGCTCTGCTATAGTTGAGTCTGTATGAGAAACTGTGCTGGTTCCGAATTTGCGGTGAAGCCAAACTTGGATGTACAATACTTCCTATGTACCCCTGTGAGTCTCCCTGTTGGTGCCTTCTGGTGGAAGCCAACCATCAAACTTGAGCATTCTCTGTTAGCACAATTCAAGAAATTACTACTCATTAGTAAATTCTTCATGTAAATGTTAGTTGTCAAGAAATTACTTAATGGTAAAAAATCTTCTCATGTAATGCTCTAATTTAGGGAAGGAAGAACTCACAATTCAAGAAATTACTACTCATTAGTAAATTCTTCATGTAAATGTTAGTTGTCAAGAAATTACTTAATGGTAAAAAATCTTCTCATGTAATGCTCTAATTTAGGGAAGGAAGAACTCACAATTCAAGAAATTACTACTCATTAGTAAATTCTTCATGTAAATGTTAGTTGTCAAGAAATTACTTAATGGTAAAAAATCTTCTCATGTAATGCTCTAATTTAGGGAAGGAAGAACTCACAATTCAAGAAATTACTACTCATTAGTAAATTCTTCATGTAAATGTTAGTTGTCAAGAAATTACTTAATGGTAAAAAATCTTCTCATGTAATGCTCTAATTTAGGGAAGGAAGAACTCACAATTCAAGAAATTACTACTCATTAGTAAATTCTTCATGTAAATGTTAGTTGTCAAGAAATTACTTAATAGTTAAAAATCTTCTCATGTAATGCTCTAATTTAGGGAAGGAAGAACTCACAAAAGCTGATCTTCTGAGTAGCTTGTGTGCCACTCACAGGTTCTACTCCACTGCTTGAACCCATAAAGAGTAGCTTGAGCAGTATAGACTGCAGCAGCAGCTAACAAAGATGGTGGAAACTTGAGCATCTCATACTCCACCAGAGAAAGCTCCATCAAGAAGAAGGATAGCAGTTCAAGCTGTTTTGAGGTCATTAAAAAAATTTAATTAGAATCCCATTACCGCGAGAAACTAATTGATTGATATTAGATGAAGCACAGCTTACCTTCTTGTCAGATTGAGCAGCCTTGAGGAACCTTTTCATGAAAACATACGGCGTCGGAACTGACATGTTAAATTGCAATGTATTAAGCATCAAGTTCTCCTGCAGGTTTAAGAAAGGCAAAGAAAGAGAATTTCAGTTAGACCTATTGCTTAGAGAAGTAACTTTATTTTCAAAGTATCAAAAACCATTAAGGATAGTCAACCAAATAAAGAAAAACGAATTACCATTTCCAGGACTTCCTTCCTTGTGTAAGCCTTATCCGATATAAGGATTAAATCCCCAACAACTGGAACAGAAACTTCCTCATATTTGCATGCTAAAAGCATGGCAACCAGACCAACCAACTGAAGCTTCTTTCTTACGACTGTTTGCTTGGATAAAAATCTATCTATAAGATTCACAGTAAGAAACAACGTCTCCTTCAGGAGTTCAAACTTGTCGTGCACCTGTTGATTCCAATAAGCAGATTAATCATTTACGAATGAGGTTGATTAAAACAATATGCATTGCTGATTAATGCACCAGAAACCATCTGCCATTTTAGGCATATTGAGTCAGTAGGAAAGGATAGTATACCTCAATAAGCCAGTCAATTAGTATAGCCCTCATCTTCTCATTGATGTCAAATTGTTGTTCCAGATAGTTAGGTGGGACACAGCTAAAACCCTGCACATATGAGTGTTGGTTAGTCGTCACACTTGGTTTGAATCTGATGTTTTCCTACTCAGTTTCAAAGAGCACATCAATAGTTTTTTGCTGAAAGAGGAAATAAATCAATTTCAGCTGAGAAGCCTAAGTGAAAAAATTGTACAAGCATCTTACAGAAAAGCTTTTCATGTCAACTAAGAATGTAAGCCAACCAATTTTAAATAAAGCTTTAGCTCTAACATAAATGCTTCCCCCGTATGTAGATATTGCTATTCTCTCATGACCTTAAAAAGAAATCCAAAACAGATTTACTTGTCATTCTAGATATGCAATTCTAAATGTGGCAGCTAGGTTAGCATATAGTATAAGCACATAACAAGCCTTAGCATAAGCCTACGCTATTTCCTTCAAAGCGCGAATTGGATGAGTTTAAAAATATAATTTTAAGGTAGGTCATGTTTCTTGTGTAATTTGTAGAATTTGTTTCTATGAATGTTTGAAAATGAATTGACAGTAAGGCTAATTTTTCAACCACGGAATGTTGCTAACTTTTCAACCGCATTGGAAAAAAAGAGAGCAACTTACCTCCATTCTCCTATAGTAAGCATAAAGATCCTCAACATATTCTACAACTGCAAGTGGATTCTTCAAATCGCAGCCATCAATGTCCACAATCGGCTCTTCCACAATATCCTCCATCTCAATCTCCTTCTAAAAGATTTAATTTTTAATTGAATCAGTAAATTGGGTTTGCCAATAAATAAACACAATCCAAAACTTGACATGTTTTCCAGAAACAAAGAAGTACCGTATCATCTGCTTCATCCGGCACTGTTTCTGCTTGTTCTAAAAACATGGGCTCTGGTTGGTCAGCCTGTTCTTCAGGTGACTCGCATTCCTCGTCTATGAATATACAATCTCCAAAACCAGTTGAGTTGGTGGCTGATGTGTTTGGTAGCTCGGGCAACTTTGTTTCCTGCTTATATAAATCACAGCAACCATCAAATAAGGTAAAACAGATAAATAGAGTGCTTTTATAGGAGGGATAATGGTACCTTCGGACAATGCTGCTGAGTGCTTTCAATTTGTGCAGCGAACTTCCTATAGAAAAATGCAAATCAAAATCATATTCCGATGAAAATACAGATTAGCAATTTCACATTGTTGTCTTAAGATTTAAACAAACAAAAATGAAAATGTCTCAGTTGAAGCATGAAAGATCTGAGATCAAAATTTGAATTTCATTCCTTTTTTTTTTCCCGCATTCTCTTGACAACCCAAAAATGGAAAAGAAAAGTGAAAAACAGAAGGGTCAAATTCTAACCTTGTAATTGGTCTATGTGCTGGATCTGCCTGCTTCTTTTCATAGAATTCATGTTTTCTGGGTAGAGAAAAAAAAACAAAAACAAAAATCAGTTCAAAAAAACAAAGGCTGTCCTAAAGATGAAGAATTCAAAGGTGGGCAAACAAGGAAAATTACTCTGGGAAGGCTCTCTTGTTAACAACACAGGGGTATCCTTGAGCTGCCACTAAACTTTCATTAATGACTCCTAAGGCCCTCCTGGTGTGCCTAACCTGCTGTTGTCCAAGCTTACCGGTACCCACATTTAGTCCTCCTACATTTTATTCCAAAAATTTTTATAAAAAAAAGAACAAAAAAAAAGTCAGAATCTTTGGCTTTTACATCCATCTCCACCCTTAAATCTCACAAATCTAATGCCAAGATTGTGCAAAATCAACCCCATTCACCTTGCATAGTTGTTGGTCTGACCAGATTAGAACGGTTCTCATCAGAAATAACCATTTTTGCTGTTAATGATGGTTATCTGAAAGGAACAATCAATCAAAATCAAACCCAAGTGAGCGGAGGCTTTGAAGAACTCAGTCACCCTCTATAGTTTACCCCAAGAGAGCATCTAAGACTGAGAGAGCCCACAAATACAGGTACTGGTAGAAATAAAAGTGGCAGAAACTGTGGGTATTTGTCTGAAGGGAGAGTGACCCAAAAGCCCTCACTTTTTTCAAATACAACGGCTAGTGTAATCTGACCGTTGGATCATGCGGATTGAGATGACTTTCTATGTGTGCCTCCGTCCTAACAACGGTCACCTGGTTGGCATGTGGTACGGTCTTATGGGATTTCAAATTAAACAAAATTTTATGTCTCAGAGTGAGAGAGGGAGAAAGAGAGAGAGTTTTTAACCTTTTTTTTATTTTATGATATCCAATGATTGGGGGTTGGTCGGTAGAAGACAGTGCTTTTTGGTTACGCTACCTCCAGCCACAGGACAATCATATGCGCTCCAGCCCACCGGAGCCTTCTATTTTTCATGAAAATTTTAAAAGTAAATAATCCTATTGACCTAATTAGGATGGTTATATTTAGTAGATTAGTAAGGTCTAAATGATTTAGCATCTGACCAATTTGTGTAACTTCTTATTTGTCAAAAGATTTTGAACCTATTATTGAAATTAAGAATCCGACTCTCGTAATTTCCTTTTCAAATTGTGTAGAAAGGGGATTTTCTTATATTTAACCACAAATTGGAATTGTTAAATGTAATACTACTTCTGCTAATACGATTGCTTAATGTGATGCGGAGTTACATATCTTGAAGAACGTTATTTAAGTTATAAAAGCATTCTCGCGCTAATGAGCGGGAAAGAATTTGAAGAACCGTTGATAAAATCTAGTAGAGTGGGAATGACCGTTAGAAGACTGCAAGAAAAATTTATAAAAGCATTAACGAATTTGTTGTTTCATTTATTTGAAATATTAACATAATGGTGAGTTGGCCAGCCAAGTTATTATTTTCCTTTTTTGAATAAAAGCAAAACCATGTTCAATGAAATGGAGTGATGAGTGTTGCATGCAATACACCAAATTTATTGCAATGAAATGCAATGACTCATTGAGTTAGGTGTGAAGGAGCTATCATAGCAGCTTTTTGTGGCACAATAAATACTTTCCATAAGTATCTAATAATTAAAATAGG